CCGGGGCGAAATTTCAATTTTTGGCTATACCAACCCCAATTGGTTGTGGCGAACATAATATGGCGTCGGAATAGCGAAAATAGCCTCTTAAGCTCTCGAAAATTGACTGCAAAGTCCTGGAGAATAAAATAATATTATTTTTCACTTCCGAGCCAAAATTCCAATTTTTGATCGAAACAACTCTAAATGCGCGTGGCCACCCTAAAATGACATCGGCCTCGAAAAATAATCTCAGATGGCCTAAAAATCAACGTCGGTGTCTCGAGGGGCAAAATCGTAATTTTTGACTTCCGGGTCAAAATTCCATTTTTCGACCGAAACTATTCCAAATACGTGTGGCCAACATAATATGACGTCAGATCCGCAAAAATAGTTGTACAAGCCCTTGAAAATCGGCACCGAAGTCCGGGTCCAATTTAGTGACCAAAATTCGCTAAATTTCAAATTTCAGGGTCTCTCACTAACGGGCGGCTGTTTAGGGGTTACGCGTATCGACCTAGGATTGTCCGAGTCATGACGGTCCCAATCATCGAGAGAATGAGAAATTATCACTAGTCCCAGAGGTCGCGATCGTTCGGTTCCAGTTCAGGACTGGTTGGCCACGTGCACTTTCGGTCGTGCAGAATCACCTGCGATCCGATTGTACATCATTGGCCTTGGCCAAACCAAATCCATCACTTTTCCTGATATCGGCTCACGTTGGCCCAAAATATTCCCTCATCATTTCTCGTGATCGATGCCCGATTCACTATCGGGTCCCTGGTCCACGTACCGTTTTCCCAGTTAGCCATACCCCACTGGTTAGTATCCCTAGAGTAATCAGCTCTGGGCGAGACTTACTAAAATGAACTGCGAAATAATGTCAATTTTATTGATCTCGGAATTACATCGAAATTCGGGCTGTTACACAGGTTGTGGGGCCCAGACGAACCGAGAGTAAACAAGATCGTGTTCATTGGGAAAAATTTGGATGCACAAGAGTTAGAGAAGGGTTTCAAGGCATGTTTGCTATAGCAAAACTGAGATAGGCCGCTTTGCCTATTCCTATCGGTTAAAGGTCCTTCGGTTTTGAGAGAGTTTGAATAGTGAGCTTATGTTCCCTGATGCAACATTATGGTCTCGGCAAATCACCACTCCAGATGGAGAGGAGAAAGACTTTGAATACGTTTAAGCACGAGTTCCTGCTCTCCGGAAAGAAATTTCAAGGGCAAGAGCCCCTGGTGGAGAGGAGATCGTGTTCAAAATGTTGGAAAAGAATGGACGAAAAATGAAAGCAACTGGAACGTCATTTTCATGGTCACGCTGACGATGTCGGGACCAGGCCTATATTCTCTCACATTTTTATCACAAATGTTGATTTTTCCAAAACCTTGGTGATGTGCTGAGAATCTTTCTCCACAGTAAACAAAAAACAGAATTTGATGAAAATTCGCACGATTCATTGGCACAGTTAATCTCAACCTTTTTCTACTCCCGAATGATCTTGATTTGTCAAAGCTATAAACTGTTCGGTGTCCAGGCGTTTCCGCCTCTCTCTCGCATAATGCACCCAGAACACCAGTGAAAGCATTACTGAAGCAGAGATCAAAGCCAACCCAACTTAGATCCAATCGTTATAGAGCCTCAGGCATGAACAACGATCCTTATCGACTTGACGGAAGGTCACTCTATCGAAAGAGCAGTCTTGTAGGTCAACAAGGAAGGGGCCGTAGTGATGTAAGCCGTAGCAGCCCACTGAAGTGCAAATATTATTTGCTGAGACCTCACAGACGTATTTCCACCGTTCCTGCACCAGATTAATGTGGCCATTTGAATTGCAAAGCTCTCTGCAAACTCTGTATTATAAAATCATCCATCGCCTACTCATTTGCCTCGCCTACTCATTTGCGAATTACGTATGTATAACCCTTAGAAAGTTAAAAAAGTGAAGTGAAATCTAATGGCCTCTATCAGGAAAAGTTTCGTTACAGTTCTCTTAAGCACGCTAGTAGTGGTGGCAATTGTCTGATGCTAGTTCATTTCTCTTTCCTCGATATGTATGAGAAACCACTGCAGATCATAACTATTTTAAGTTTCACAGGACTTGATTCAATTAGGCTATCCCATCCATCTCCATGAAGAAACAGCATTGATAATTGCTAATGTAAAGATTCCCTAACTTACCTACGACGCAATGCGAAAGTTGACCTCACCATCGGCGCAACTTCTATTGGTTTTGTCATGATGGGAAGGATTACAAAGGAGTGGCACTAACGGGCCAGACTGGTTGTACTAAAAAAGGGCCACTGCCTGCTGGCAAGTTGTGTGGTTCGAGATATTGCCAATGAATCTGTTTACTCCACGAACCAACTGGTCGGTAACATATTTGGTCCGTAACAAGGTCTCTTGGTGTTGACACCAAAATGAGAATCGGCATAGACGCTGAGTCGGCTTTAATGCCGAATCTGGTGTATAATGGAAATCAGGCGTCTTCCGAAATACGTTTGGATAAAATTCAGAGACATGCTGAGAAGCAAGCGTGAATGGCATCATATCCCAAATTCGGTAATTGATAAAGATCGGTATACTTACCCAAACATGGAAAGTCATAGTTCGGGACGTTGGAATATTAGTGCCTTGGAATGTTGACTTTTTCCCGAAATTCGGGAAGTTTACACTTCGGGAATATACCGACATTATAGAAAATCGGTAAAGATGAATCACAGCCCAGCCACGTAAGTCACGATAGCAGGAAGTTATGACCAAAAAGCGGGGATATTGAGCACGAGCATATTGTGGGGAGTTACTTGTCTATATTTGAAATCATCCTAGCAGTTGAGATCAAGTTTTAGCGAAGGGCAGTTATTGGAAGCGCCAAAGTTCAAAGTTTGAAAACGTAGAAGTAACCGACGAGCAGTTACAGAATGAGAAGAGATACAAATACTCAGAAGAAAGGAGGAAGAAAGGATCCGACAACAATGCAAAAACACTCAAGCTTATCTGCACTTTAGTTTCCTATGCATTTTTACTTCCTGTAGTTACAGCTTCCTGTAGCTTTAGTTAACTTTCAAGTCCTTTACAGCTTTCGTAGGAGTATTGTAACGTAACTTGAAACTCTGTTGATTCCAGATCCATTTCCAATCCATTCGATTTCTATCCATTCCATATAATCCTGTGTTACACTCTATTTTTCACCACAACTCTCCTAGAAGTCAAGCCACATAACCTATTTTAATAAAAACCGAAAATCGAAGTTTCGATAAAAAGTATTCCTCGTCATAAAACGAGCGAACACTTGGGTAGTTGCATTGTCCACTCAAGGAGGGATATCATCCATGGATGCATGGGCTGTGGGAGCCTGGATCCATTCCTTCATGGCAACACAGGTGTCAGCCATTGCACTAAAAATTTTAGAGAAGAGAAGACTTAGAAGCAAATCATAAGGCTTCAAGCCAACCCTAGCGGGTACATACAGCATTGCAATTGCTACTTGAAACCATAAATCTATTTGCTTCAAGAGTTACTGAAACTACCACGTCACTCTAGTAGCGAGATATATATGTTTGTGTGTGTATATATATGTGAGTGGTAGTACATAGTCATATTTGAGTGATAGTACATAGTGATTTGATGGTGAATAGTGATTGGCCTATTATGATAGGACGTTGAGTGAATAGTGATTTGTCTGTCATTTTCTGCTATAGTATTATTCCGTGCTGCTACAGTTTTGACAGGTTATCTTCTTTTGGTAATTATATATATACACACACTTTCATATTTTTTTTCCACAAATAAGATATCATTTGGCAAAAAACTATTACTTACATATCAAAAAAGTTAGATCACAATATAGTGGGCTTGACTAGAAACTGTATCATAGGCTATAGAAGATGGTATAGTAAGTTATAGACTAAAGAAATCAGCCTTAACATGCAAAAATTTAACAGTAGAGGAGCCTTAAAGCTGCAATATTGAGAAGAGCCAATCTTTTACGAATAGTGGAAACAATTGATTACAAATGCTGAATCATAGAAAAGATGTACAGAACATATCATAAATTAACACTGACGCAGAATTCAACACATGTTGAATCTTAGCTGAATTCTGCTTTGTTTTTATTGAGTCAAGTAACGAACAATGCTAAGCTTTGTCCAGCCGGTGCTGTGTGCTCCAATTGAACTTTGATTTTTCATTTTATCAAATATAATACCATCAAAAAGTTTATCTCGCTAAGCAAATTTTAAGCTCTCGACCCCACTAGAATTTTAGCTAAACTCAACTTTGAGCCTACATTCTGTTGTGTCAACATTTCATGATATTACATAAGAGGAGCTCAAGTTTCTTTTGGAACAATTTAAGATAGATTTATTCAAGCAAAAAAAGGAAACTTCATGTGACAAATGAATTCTAGGACCCGCTTAGAATTCCGTACTTCTGCTTAGAATTCTGTAGGACCTGCTTAAAATAATCCATTAACCCATTGTCAAGCTTCCTATGTTTCTATAGTTCTTCTTACAACTCCAGGAATACCAAATATTTTCATTTGTGTCTTAGATGTGACAACACAAATGAAAAGGCACGTTATTCAGAATTTATCGAACGTTGTTATATTATTGGAACAAACTAGACAAATGGCCTGACTCTATCCCTAAGCCTAGAGACATGGAGTTACGTGTTGTTTGACATGCCGTAAGTAATTATTAGGGACCTGGCCTGGGAAAGAAATTGATTACTAGAGACCGAATTCATAAACCTCCTTGACCGCAAGAGAAGGTTTGGTACTTTCACATAAGTTGACAATTGATTCTGTAATTAGATATGACTAACCTAGCAGTAAATATCCTCTGATCATAATTAAGATAGATAATTTCACTGAAAACTAAATTGACATAATTGCACGAGTTTCATCCATTCGTACAGGTGACACAGAGTTGGCGAATCTAAGAGAGAAAATGACTTGGATGATGATGATCCCAGTGCAGTGGGATCTTGTGCACCCAGATATCTCTCAATCTAGAGGCTAATGCAAAGATGAATCTATATGACATCAGATATAGAACAACAACAAAACATGCCCACGATAACCCTCTTGCTCTCTTCAATAATACTACACCACAATCTTACAAAAACTCATCATGCGGCTAAAAAGCTATGAACAAAATGCAAATTTTCACGTGCACCAGCTTGATCCAGATTTTACTGGATCTGAGCATAGGACTGTGCTTTTTCCCTAGATTAAAAGAAAAAAACACGGAACACGTACACACACACACGACATCTTTATGATTGATCATATGCTTGGGGCTTTGATATGAAATATGCGAGAACAGCTATAGACCGAGCAAAAGGCATGCAATGTCACGAGCAGCAAGAGTACAATCCCAGCCATCACTGCCAGGAATTGCCATGAGCTGAACACGTACTGCTTCATGAACTTGCCGAGCTTGACCTTCCACCTCCCGTTGTAGTACTTGTTCACGTCCTCGATCGCCTTGTCCAAGAAGGGCACTTTTGTCAACCGGATCGACTTGCTCATCCCGTTCCACAGCTTTGCGACCTCCTCGTCGCTCTTCAGAAGGTTCAAAATGACCCCTCTCTCTCTCAACAGCTTCACATCCTCATCCGAGTCTATAATACCGTTCATGAGCTCAGTGTAGCGCGTGAAAACCAATGGGCCTGACGCGTTGGATGCCTCATAAGCGACTAGGTTCCTCATGCACGCCTCCGAGTTCACGTCCAGACTTATGGCAGGCAAGTAAAGCGTCGCCGTCTTGGCGTCGAAACCGATGGTAGAGAGGTTTCCCTTGGTGGGTACGAAACGGACTCCTACATTGGATAGGTCAGAGACCGATGGGATTGTGATCTCCTCAACTGAAGGTGGCTTATGAGGATTGCTGTTTTCATTTTCTGACTTGCCCTCTTCTTTTACTTGGGATGAGATTAAGGACTCAAGAGGCTGTGCCAAGACTGAGAAAAGTGGGACTTTAGAGAGAATAGTCAATGGCAATTTCAATACTACCTTCACTGGGTTTGAAAGAAGCTGCCTCTTAACAATTTCAATAGGGCCTTTGCTCAACTTGGAGAGCAAATTCCAAATTTGATCACATAGTTGCTTGATATAATTTGTGCCACTGGAAGACAACAATGACCGTGGTGATTTTGCCTGTCCTTCATTGTCCTCGTTGTCACCTTCCTCCTCAACAATCTCGGGCTGTTCCTTCACTTTGGGTACTATGGTGTCATACAAGAAGTCTAGCAAGTGGGCCCAGGCGGAGACTTGTATCGTGGGCAATGCCTCCATCACTTTGAAAGGTGAAACTTCCTTGTAAAACCCCATTAGCATCACAAGCAACATGTCGTCAGCATCGTCGAGGGATGCGAATTGGAATTCCAACATCTTCCTCAATATGAAAAGTGGGATTTGATTCTCTAGCATGACTATGTCCCTAAGGATGACATTGTGTGCAGACTTCCTTCCTGCATAATCGACCAAATGTGACATCCTCGATGAGACCCTGGAGAGTATCTTACCTTCTTTGATTGCGTAGACTTGGAGGAACTCGAGCAAGAACGACGCGTCAATGGCCATCATCCATGCCAGTGTCTTGCCGTTGAAGTCCAGGTACTTGTGATAGCAGGCTCGGACTCTCGACTCAAACTTTACCAGTTGATCCACCAAATTCTGGAACTTGATCCTTTGGAGTTGCTTCTGATATCTTTTCGCCGCCGCAAGCTTGTATCTCTCCATCTCATACATCTCCGGGCGCCAATGGTAGTATGGACCAATCGCCACTTGTGTTGAAAATATGTCTCGAGTTGAGCCCAAAGCGAAATCTAAATATTCCGAATTAATATTTTGCGGACATCCGAAATTGAGCAAAAAGGAAATATTGGAAATTTACTTTCCAAATATGTGCCGGAGGAAACAAATATTCTTTCCTAATTGATGTTGGAGTCTACGGCTTGAACAAGAAAGTCCAACGTGGCTTTTGATTCAGATCATGACTCGGTCAACTCTTGGGCACATATATTATATTCTATCGTGGGCACTTTGAAAAGAAGAAGTTGAAGAGTGCAGAGTGTGGTCTTTGTGCCGTTCGTGTCCAGAGAAGAACTGAAGCACCGAATCGAGTGCTTGACGTGAGTCTTCGTGGAATTACATCCTGGTGTTTTCTTCGTGCGTGAGTGATTTAGCAGATTAAATCTTGTGGTAAGATTTGTGTACAATTCTTTTACGAGATTGAGAGATTATTTCGTGAGAAATTGTGGGGTTAAACACTGCGTGAGTTATTGGGTGTAATTGGGGCTTGGGAAACACTTAGAGTGTTTGAGTGACTCGAGTGTGGTTGTAATCTCCGTTGTATCGCTTGATCTATAGTGGAATTCCGTGCTGCTCTCCCCGTGGATGTAGGTCACTACGACCGAACCACGTAAATCTGGTGTTCGATTTATTTTCTTATTATGTCAATTTTATTGTTCGATCACTTGGCTTCCGCAACAATTGGTATCAGAGCCTGGTTTGGCTGAGTTAAAGCGAATCGATGGCGATAGAAGAAGGAAAAGTGAGAATCGACAGATTTGATGGGAAGGACTTTGGTTTCTGGAAGATGCAGATTGAGGATCATCTATATCAGATGAAACTGCACTTGCCCCTGTCTGGGGAGAAGCCAGAGACGATGAAGCAAGCTGATTGGGAATTGCTGGATAGACGAGCTTTGGGTGTTATTCGGCTGACGTTGGCCCGTAACGTCGCGTTTAACATCGTAAATGAGAAGACCACTGCAGGTTTGATGAAAGCCCTGTCGGACATGTACGAGAAGCCCTCTGCGATCAACAAGGTCTATTTGATGCGACGTCTGTTTAACTTGAAGATGAGCGAAGGTGCGTCAGTTGCTGATCATATTAATGAATTCAATGTGATCGTTAGTCAATTGAGTTCAGTTGACATTGACTTTGAAGATGAGGTACGTGCTTTGATTCTATTATCCTCATTGCCTGATAGTTGGAATACTACTGTTACTGCTGTTAGTAATTCCTCTGGGTCAACAAGTTTGACGTTTGATGGTGTTCGAGATTTAATTCTAAGTGAAGATATCCGTAGAAGAGAATCTGGCGAACATGTATCTGCTGCTTTAGTAGGTGAAAATAGAGGAAGAACTGGTACACGTATTAGCAGGAGTAGTATGAACTCGAATAGACGAAGTCAGTCTAGGACTGGTGGTGTTATCTGTTGGAGTTGTGGCAAGAGGGGACATATTAGAAGGGATTGCCTTAAGTTGAAAAACGACAAGGGTAAGGGAATTAGAGTTGATCCTGCGGATGATGTTGCAGCTATAGCTGATGGTAATTCGGATGATGCTGATTATGTCTTGTCTGTCACTGATAATTCATCGTTTGATGGATGGATTATGGATTCTGGTTGTTCTTTTCACGCTACACCAAATAGGAACTGGTTTACTACTTATCAGTGCACGGATAGTAGTAAAGTGCAGTTGGGGAACAACGCTAAATGCGATGTTGTAGGTGTTGGTGACGTTAGAATAAGAATGCATGATGGTATTGTGTGGACATTGACTGGAGTGAGACATGTTCCAGAGTTGAAGAAAAATCTGATTTCCTTGAGTGCCCTGGATTCAACTGGGTGTCGGTATTCTTCAGAATGTGGAGTTCTGAAAGTTCTTCGAGGTGCCTTGGTGATAATGAAAGGAATCAAGCATGATGGCCTGTATGAGCTTCAAGGTGAGACAGTGACGGAATTTGCTGCGGAGACGTCGGATGCATCAGTTCGAGAGTCTGAATTGTGGCATATGCGTTTGGGGCACATTAGCGAGAAAAGCCTGAAGGTTTTAAGTGAAAGAAATTTGCTATGTGGTTATGTGGCTAACGAACTGAATGTATGCAGGTGCTGTGATTTAGATCAACGGCGGAAAGTGCAGTTTAGTACGATTGTCAAAGAAACCACGGAAATTGCAGAATTGATTCATTTAGATGTTCGCAGGTTGTCGCGATTTCCTTCGAGGAAGAGTGTCAGATTTATGCTAACAGTTGTTGATGACTACTCGAGGAAGACTTGGGTGTTTGTGCTAAGGCACAAGTTTGATGCTATTGTCAGGATCAGGCAGTTGAAAGCTTTGATCGAAAAGGAGACTGGTAAATCGATCAAGCAGGTGCAGACTGACAATAGTATGGAGTTTTGCTTGAAGCTGTTAAACGAATTCTGCATGAAGGAAGGCATAGTGAGACATCGCACTAGTGCCAATAAATCACAACATGTTGCAGAGTTGATGAGCAAAACATTACTAGAGACGGCCCATAAAATGCTCTCTAGTGCTGGTATGGCTAGGAGATTCCTGGCGGATGCGCTTAGTACGGCGAGCTACCTGAAGAATAGATCCCCATCGACTGTGATTGAATGTCGAACTCCCGAAGAAGTGTGGTCAGGTAACGTTGCTGATTATTCTGTTCTTAGAATATTTGGTTGTCCATGTTATGTTCGAGTTAGTGATGGTAAGCTCGATGGAAGGACAAGAAAGTGCATGTTCCTAGGTTATGCACAAGGTGAGCGGGGCTATAAGTTGTGGTGCCCGGAATTAAATTCATCTAGTATCAGCAGAGAAGTTACATTTGACGAGTCTTCAGTACTTCTGGCTAGGAGTGTTAATAGCAGTGTTCATACGGATCTGGACGGTGTTCAGCTTGAGGTGGAGTTGCAACCAGAAACTCCCGAGGTAGCGGGTGCTAGCGAAGTAATCGACACGGATGGTGCTTGTAGCGAGGTGGAGCCTATTGAGCCAACAGTTGCTGTAACTGCTGATATTGATAAGGTGCGTATTCGATCTTCGAACAGATATGGATGCAATGATGGTTTTGCTTTATCTGCGATTGAGGAGATTGTGTCAGAAAATCCTTGTGGAGCGGTTAAAGGTGCATGTGGAGTTGGTATTCTGATGAGGTCCACTGCTATGGTGAAGTTCAAGCGAGGCTTGGACTTGAAAGACGTCTGTGACGGTTGAGCCCATTGGGGCTGTGGGAGAGTAGTAGCGGAATTCGGATTCTATCAAAGCGATTGTGACTTGGCTCAAACGTCGAGCCAAGGTGGAGATTGTTGAAAATATGTCTCGAGTTGAGCCCAAAGCGAAATCTAAATATTCCGAATTAATATTTTGCGGACATCCGAAATTGAGCAAAAAGGAAATATTGGAAATTTACTTTCCAAATATGTGCCGGAGGAAACAAATATTCTTTCCTAATTGATGTTGGAGTCTACGGCTTGAACAAGAAAGTCCAACGTGGCTTTTGATTCAGATCATGACTCGGTCAACTCTTGGGCACATATATTATATTCTATCGTGGGCACTTTGAAAAGAAGAAGTTGAAGAGTGCAGAGTGTGGTCTTTGTGCCGTTCGTGTCCAGAGAAGAACTGAAGCACCGAATCGAGTGCTTGACGTGAGTCTTCGTGGAATTACATCCTGGTGTTTTCTTCGTGCGTGAGTGATTTAGCAGATTAAATCTTGTGGTAAGATTTGTGTACAATTCTTTTACGAGATTGAGAGATTATTTCGTGAGAAATTGTGGGGTTAAACACTGCGTGAGTTATTGGGTGTAATTGGGGCTTGGGAAACACTTAGAGTGTTTGAGTGACTCGAGTGTGGTTGTAATCTCCGTTGTATCGCTTGATCTATAGTGGAATTCCGTGCTGCTCTCCCCGTGGATGTAGGTCACTACGACCGAACCACGTAAATCTGGTGTTCGATTTATTTTCTTATTATGTCAATTTTATTGTTCGATCACTTGGCTTCCGCAACAACTTGTTGCAGGGTGTACAAATCTGGGGCGCTAGACATTAATACTTTCGGGACGCTGAAAATGGAGACTGGCACCTCGGTTTCGTCTTCAAACTCTTCCTCAAGCGTCTGGCGGATTTGGATCACCCACCGGATCTCGTCGAAGATCTGGTTCGCTTTTGGCATGGATGATTCGATTTGGACAAAAGAAGCCATGTTGGCTTAGCTGCTTAATCCGTTCAAAGAAACTTTTCTGAGGGTGAGTGTAGTACAGTGAAAGAGTTCTCTTAATAGATCCTTTTGTCTAAAGAAATGCGTTTCTCAAGGTTGCAATTCATTTCTACTTATAGCCGCAAACTATGTTCTTCCTAACAGTCCCGGTCATCCACGTAAACAAGGTTCATTGAAATGGCTCCTTCTTATAAAAAGTAGGTTTCATTTTTTCACGATCATTAATTTTACAAAAAAAAAGTTCATATAAATTCATTTCACGGACGATGTGATAAACAGAACCAAGTACACTTAAAAATAAATACGTGAAAACTTGTATTTTTTCATTGGATGTAGTGATTGCAGTATTTCTCAACTTGTAATTGACTTGGATCTAATGGAATGAATCCATTGTTTCTTAATTTTTCTCGTTAACTTTGGAATAAATGGAATTTTTATGGCACATGTGAAATGCGTTCCTTTGTAGTTTACCTTACAAGGGACAATCATGTCGCTAACCAGAAAGGTTCATCCCTTGTTGCGTGCGTTGAATAGTCATTGGCCGCGTTGGCTTCCTGGCATTAGTATTCATAAGTTCAACGTGATCCATGAGACGGTAGAGAAAGGTCAGCAGCCTTTCTCCGTCACGCACAGCTCACAAAAAAACAAAGGTGATAGGGAAAATATGTGATGTTGGAAGAGAAAAACAGCATAGAATGATGGTTATAGTCAATCTTTTGCTATAGAACAAAGAGTCGGGCCAATGACGTCTCTTCTTTGTCTTATGGAATTTCAAAGCCGTACAAACCAAGAAGGCCATTTGCGTTTTGCATGATTGCAAGGTGAAATTGCAGGGACTTATGATCCTCAGCTGACCACCGCCCATGCACATACAGTTCAGATTTTGAGGACGGCCCGTGTCTAAGGGCACATGAACAGTTCCATTTCATCTGCACGATTTTCTGGTATCGCAGCTTGCTATTTGCTTATGTTCTCTGATGCAATATTATGGTCTCGGCAAAGACACTTCAGGAAAATTTGATGTTTTTTTCTTTTAGCCACAGGATTGTGTGTGTTTGATTTCGCTGAAGTCGGTAGGAGAAATTTCTCCGAAAGGCTGTTTCTAAGGTTTCGAGTCTTCCGACCTTCGGTTGCTTTCTCTAGATGTCATTAAATTGGCACGGCACGAGCTTTTAGCTAAAGCTTTCTTATTTTTTCACATATGGTCGACATAGTATAGAACTTGTCTTCGCATGTTGTTTCCCCAAGTACAACGAAACAAACTCGAATGTGTAAAAACGAAAGCACCGAAATATGCTGGAGATGCAAAAATCATGTGATCATAGAGAGAGACTGCGGGAGGGAGGGATGGATGATTGTTATTTTTGAATCTATCTCGAAAAGCACATGTAGCTTGCTTTAACTGCTCAAGACAACTTATGTAGTAAATGATGCCGGTGCACCATGTTTAAGCATAAATTCCTTCTCTCTGGAAAGAAATTTTAAGAGCAAGAGTCCCTGATGAAGACGAAATGATGTTCCCAAATGTTGGAAAAGAATCTTTGAAGAAATTTGAAAGTGATATGTAGTCTCTCTCGTGTTTATCACAAATATTGAATTTTCCAATACCGTACATGATGTGTTGAGAATCCTTTTCCACAGTAGACAAAAAATAGAATTAAATGAGAATTGGCACGATACATTGGCACAGTTAATCTCGACCACTTTCTACTCCCGACTGATCTTGATCTGTCAGAGGTATAAACTGTTCGGTGACCAGGTGTTTACGTCGCTCTCTTGCATAAACCACCTAGAACACCAATGAAAGCATTACTGAAGCAGAAACCAAAGCCAACCCAACATAGATCCACTTACTATAGAGCCTTAGGCCTGGAAAGTGATCCTTTTCGACTTCATGGAAGGCATCTCGAACGAAAGAGCAGTCTTGTAGGCCGACAAGGAATGGACCGTAGCAATATAAGCCGTAGCTTACATTGACAATGGCCGTCATCTGGTCATAGAACACGGTTGTCAAGCGTCCCACTGAAGTGCAAAGATTATTTGCTGAGACCTCACAGATGTATTTCCTCCATTCCTGCACCAGATTATTGTCGCTATGTTAATTGCAAAGCTCTCTGCAAACTCTGTACTAGAAAATCATCCATAGCCTTATCATTAACCAGTTATGTACACATGACTCATATAAATTTCATAAAGAGAAGTGAAATCTAATGGCATCTATCAGCGAAAAGATTCATTACAGTGCTCTTAAGCACGCTAGCATTGGTTGAAATTATCTGATGCAAATTATCCACAATTTCTCTTTCCTCGATATGTATGAGAAACCACTGCAGATCATAACTATTATAAGTTTCACACTACTTGATTCAACTAGGCTGTCCCATCTCCATGAAGAAACCGCTTTAATCATTGCTAATGTACAGATTCCCTGGCTTACCTGCGATGCATTGTCAAAGTTGACCTCACCATCAGCACATCTTCTATCAGTTTTATCATGATGGAAAGGATTACAAAGGAGTGGCGCTAGCGGGCCAGACTGGTTGTAGTAAAAAGGGCCACTGCCTACTGGAAAGTTGTGGTTCGAGATGTTGCCAATGAATCTGTTGACTACATGGACCAACTGGAACGTAACATCTTTGCTCTGCAACAAGGTCTCTTGGGCAGTTGCATTGTCCACACACGGAAGGATATCATCCATGGATGTGTGGGCTGTGGGGTTTTGGATCCGTTCTTCCACGGCAACACAGGTGTCACCCATTGCACTAAAAATTTTTAAGAATAGAAGACTGAGAAGCAAATCATAAGGCTTCAAGCCAACTCTAGCGGGTGAATACAGCATTAAAATCGCTACTTGAAAACCATAAATGTATTTTCTTCAAGAGTTACTGAAACTGCCACGGGACTCTAGTAGCGAGCCATATATATATGCTTTTATTTTTCCTTTTCGATGAGGAAGTTATCGTTTAGCAAAAAACCTTAACTTACATACTGAAAAAGTTAGGTCGCAACATAGTGGACTTGGCTAGAAACTGTATAATAGGCCACAGAAGATGGCATAATAAGAAATAGACTAAAGATATTAGCCTTAACAAGTAAAAAATTAACAGTAGAGGGGATCCTTTGATCTAAAAGAATTATGGGGCAACAGACAGATCATAAAGGATGATCCCCTGCACTTACTTGTGAAGAATGACAAAAAGTCCACATAAAACGAATGTAACAGTGACCAAGATCCACCCGAAAATTGACAATCTACAAAAAGTCCACATCATGATGAAAAAAAGTTGATAAAATGGATAATACTTCCTGAAAAATAAGGACATATAACAGCGGAAGCACTCACAGGGACACAAGTGGCTGAACTCCTAACACCGATAGAACTGCCAGGAGTAACAATCAACGTGTGAGGGAATTTCGCTATAGTCACTAGAAATATATGCAGTTGATCTGATCGTGACAACAGATAGTCTTACAGAAGCCAAGTAAAGCCAAGAGGAGCATCATAGCTGCAATAATGACGACAGCCAATCTTCTACAGAAAGCGGAAATATCAATCAGTACAAATGCTGAAATAGGAAAAGATGTACAGAACAGAATGTAAATTAATCACTAACACTGAATTCAACACATGCTAAATCTTATCTGAATTCTGGTCTGTTTTTCTCTCGAGTTTGGTTGCTGAAGAATTAATCTCAGTTTCTACTTTGTCAATGTTGCTCTGGGCATTGGGTGGTAAAGATATTTGATCCACTCCGACACGCTTAGCGTCAGCAAGGTAATCAGATACATTTCTAAGCTTTTCAACCGTAGTATCAGCCTGCTTCACCACATATTTCAGCGTGCTACTTGTGCTTCCATGGAACTTCTCCTGGCCGGTGAACAGGACGATGCTTCCGACACTTGAAGCACAGACAACCTGTCATTCACATAATTCGCATCACTTGTTTTTGACAAAACAAAGAGAAGGGAAAAACCTACATTGCTGCTGTAATGAATAGTCCAAGTAGAGAAAGAGCATATTTGGATTTTGAATTTCCATAAGACTGTTTGAGGCGGTGGCAGCAGCAGTGGCGAACACATAAGATGCAAAGGCATAGACCAAACCCTAGAAACCAAATTGCGGCAATGGCAAACAATGGAGCGGCAGTAAATCCAACAGACTGTTAAATGCAAGTAATTAAAATACTCTTAGTATTACAACCATATAAACCAACACAAAATTAATTCTGACAACTGTCGGCAAACATATGAGCTCTCTACTGCAGATAAATGAGACCATCAACAAGGGACATAAAAAATGGCACACAAAGGAAGTTCACCATCTGAAATCCAGCCACTGTAGATGGAGCCAATGACGAAAGCTTTTTTTGGGGGGTAAGTCCATGAGGAATCTTAGAACTAACTCTGCCATCACAGCAAATCTAGCACACATCCTGAATAAGAACATATTGGTCACCCAACTCTGCACCACCCTCTCTCTAGGCATTTTTGTTATTGAAAATACTAATAAAAAGAACATGTTCCTGGTTATAATTTCATAAACTCATTGACGGATCAAATAGAATAGAGAGGGAAGTAAACGATAACACTGACAAATAAGTAACGTCTGCTGCTGATGTTCCAACCCCCCTTGTAGTGCCTGAAATTATCCAGAGGGTCTCTCCTACGCGTTCTCTTTTCAGCTAATACCCGTGTCGAATTCTGTAGACTGCCATCATCATTTCCTTCAAGAACTAGCCTTCTCTCTTCCCACAGAACAACATCAAACTCTGCTGAAACGGCAATTTCTTCCGCAGAAAAGAATTGTCACGTTGTCGAACATAATGTCAACCATAAGATAGAAAACAATGACAAGGAGGCCATCAAGCCCATGTAAAACTACACATGATCGAAAGAAACTCTCCACAAGTTGAACTGCCACACTGAAACAGCAATCACACATCCAATTTTAATCCGCACTAGGTTCGTCGAAGATCAAGTTTAAAATGGAAGAACAAAACAGAGGAGGACCCAAAAAGGAAAGAACGTTTACTCGGAAAGTGTGCGGTCTGCGGGTGGTGGAGATGA